ATTGTAAAAAAAAAAAAAAATAACAATATTACTGTATTTTTGATCAAATAATTACAGTCTTGGTGACCATAAAATAATTATTTAAAAAAAAATCTTGCCAACCTCAAACTTTTGATTGGTATGTTTATATTATATAAATTATATGTATATTATATAGTATCAATTATTATTTTTTTTATATTATATAATAATTAGCAATATTTACTTTTAACTATATTTAATTTGCTATATATACATGCTATGTTTAAGCATTTGAAATTAAGCACCTTGTAAATGGGACTGGTACTGAAATCACAATAAAAATTATTGAAAAAAAAGAAAGAAAAAGAAAATTGTTTAATTATGAGAAAACATTCCTGTTGTGGTCATGAAAAAAAAAATAGGTTTCATAAAAATGGCTTTAAAAATGCAAATCACTGCAAAAGCTCTCTGTGCCTATGGACTTAAAATATATTGTAATATATAAAACATAACAGTCAATAGTATTATATTGTACTGTACCATTATTTTTTATTTGATTACATCATCCGCAGCACTAAAAGACGTTTGCATTTAAATGACATGTAATGATTCATCTTGGACCTTGTTGGCTTGGTTTATGGCTTTGAACATTTAGTGAAAAAAATCTTTTTGGAGAAAAAAAATGAATAATGTACATCCAGAACAATGCTGTTTAAAAAGTAGTGTTATGTGTAATCTGTGAGTCTCTGACTGTGACCTAAATCAAGTAGACATCATTTGGAGCTCATGCAGACATTACAGACACTGCTTTCATTACAGTGAACTCTGTGTATCATCATCCTCTTTTTTTTTTTTTTGCGCACTCAAAGGCACTCAAATGGACGACCACATCCCTAGGCGTACGGCACAGAAGATCGTAGCGCCACCTGGAGGCCGTTCCAATATCACATCCCTCTCATGAACCTCGTCCACCAGGGGATCCAACAGCAGCCGTTTCGCCTTCTCCGGCTTCCAGTTTTATATTACCTGAATCATGCAAATATTAATCCCAATAAACCCATACACTGCCAACCCAATAGGCTATGCAGCAACTCAACCCAGTAGGCTATGCAGCAACTCACTATAGCTTTCCATGAATTCATATTCACTATATAATCTGCCTCTCCTCTGGTCAGACTCACTCATAATGTAGCATGCTCTTTTATCAGTCACCCAGAATCCATTCTGCTTTAGCGTAGCATTGATGGCGTAAAGACGGCTAGTGATTGTTGTGTTTGTGAACTACTGAATGAACTACTGAACTCATTCTAGTACTGCCTTTCAGCCAGTGCTTTCCTCCTGTGACATGTAGATTCAGACGAGACGAGACGAAGTGTGTTTTCTGTGGAAGCCTGTTTATGCCACACACAAAAAAATAGGTAATTGCAACTTTTTTCCTCACAATTTTTACGTTTTTTCCCTCAATTATTAGTTTATATGTTACAGTTCTGACTTTTTACTTGCAAGAATTTAACTGCGAAAACTAAACTTAATTTTGAGACACAGTACAATTCAGAATCGCAAGATATAAACTTAAAATTGCAACAAAAAAAAATACAATTGTAAGATGTAAACATGGAATCCTGGGGATTATAGATATACAGTATATAGATATACTAAGAATACTATATTAGGTAACTAATGAATTAGGAGGTATAAACTTAGAATTGTAAGATGTCAGTTTGGAATTCTGCGAAAAATTGGATTATGAGATATAAACTCAGAATTGTGAAATGTCTGTTTGGAATTCTGCAAAAATTGAATTATGAGATATAAACTCAGAATTGTGAAATGTCTGTTTGGAATTCTGCAAAAATTGAATTATGAGATATAAACTCAGAATTGTGAAATGTCTGTTTGGAATTCTGCAAAAATTGAATTATGAGATATAAACTCAGAATTGTGAAATGTCTGTTTGGAATTCTGCAAAAAAAATGAATTATGAGATATAAACTCAGAATTGTGAAATGTCAATTGGGAATTCTGAAAAAAAAAAGAATTATGAGATATAAATTCAGAATTGTGAAATGTCAGTTTGGAATTTTGAGGAAAAAAAAAATTAATTATGAGATATAAACTCAGAATTGTGAAATGTCAGTTTGGAATTCTGAGGGAAAAAAATTAATTATGAGATATAAAATCAGAATTGTGAGATGCAAACTTGGAATTCTGAGGGGGAAATCTGAATTATGAGATAAAATCAGAATTGTGAAATGTCAATTGGAAATTCTGAAGAAAAAAAATTATGAGATATAAATTCAGAATTGTGAGATGCAAACTTGGAATTCTGAGAGGGAAATCTGAATTATGAGATAAAATCAGAATTGTGAAATGTCAATTGGAAATTCTGAAAAAAAAAGAATTATGAGATATAAATTCAGAATTGTGAGATGCAAACTTGGAATTCTGAGGGGGAAATCTGAATTATGAGATATAAACTCAGAATTCAGATTTTTTTTCTCAGAATTGCGAGAAACAAGTCACAAGTACCTTTTATTCAATGGTGGAAATGGGTTTTCACAGTTTTCTGCACCAGTAGTGATGCAAAAATGACACTTCATCTTTGAGAGATTGTGTTCTGTCATTGTGCTTTAAAGAAAAATCAAGAACTACCTACTGATGGTCTTAGTGCTAAGATATTAAAAAAATAAACCGTTATTGTAAGGTTTGTCCATGTTGTATCTGAGACTAGAGAAAAAAAAATGGATTGTAGAGTTCTGCCTCTAACTGCATTCATGATTTACAGTTTAGTTTTGAAGGCTAAGACTCATCACGCAGATACAGCAATCAGCGATGCATTTTTTATATGTTTCTAAGACAACGTTTGGTGCTCTCAATCTATAGATCAACACATGCCAATGTGTTACTGTGAGGAAGTCACTTTTTGAACCCAGATGAACGTTTTTAATTCTTTTGAGGTTTATATTCCTGTAATGCATTTAATTACCAACAGTCTTTTTGTAGTCTTAACCGGTATTTGCTGGAAATCTCCATATTAGACGTAATGTAATTTTTGTGAGATATTTCAGAGTTGAAGGTGAAGGTCAGTGAAGCTGAAAGTGATCGTGGATTGTCTTTTCTACCTTCTTGTGTTCATTCTGTAAATATATTTGTTGTTTTTCATTTTTGTGCATGGTTTGCATGTCCTCAATAAAAAAAAAAAGTTTAAAGAAAAATTGCAATTTTGTGACCATTTCACAATAATGCGTTTGTAGTTTTATTGTTATTAAGATCTTCATGTCATTTTGATGTATATTTTTTATTTATAAAAAAAAAAAAAACTTGAATTTCCATGACTTTCCAAATGAAGAGAAAAAAAGATATGATCATGGCAGTTAGAATAATGAAATTGGAAATTATAGCGCACACTGCAGCAGCTTTTACTAGTTTTTTTTTTTTTAAACACACCATGTATAGCTATAAATGTTAATACATTTGAATAACAAAAATAATTTTATACATTTAAAATATAAAAACTTTGACGTTAATTATTACACAAATGTGATTTTATTTTGTTTTTATTTTTTGATACAAGCATTTTGAAAATTAATATAGGTAAATGCATTGCAGTATGTGAAACATCTCTATTGTCATGATTATTGTGTGACCACAAGGGGTGGTCATGATAATTTATGTTAACATCTTTTAAAGTAATAATACAATTTAGTAGTAGTAGTATTTACTTTGACTACAACAGTGCAATAGTCATTAAAAGCAAGCTTTGTTTGCCAAAATTCTAACGTTTTCCTAATAACCACAGGTCAATTTTTTTTTTTAAATTCCAGAAGTACCTGTATATTAGTATTGCGCAATGTGCATACAGTAGTCTGCCAATCTTTTGCACTTGACCTTCCATTAGCAGTGTGATGAATGATGTCATTACAGATTCTTTAATTGAATTCAAAATGCAAAATAAGAAAACATGCAAAGTTATAATCATGAAAATGCAACATGCGTTTGAAAACTTTGTTGCAAAATGATTGTTTTACCCACTTTTTAAAAAAGTAGACCATTTTTAGTGTACAATATTAAGCAGCAAGCTAATATTCTGAACTGAATCTTGTTTACATACTATTAAAGCTTAAGTTTCTGTTGTAAGATGTTACAGATGGTAATATACTTGATGCTGTAATCTAAGGTTCTCCTCTGTGCATGCGTCTCGAGTTTGCAAAGTCATGATCACAGGAAAAGGTAAAGAGACTTCTGCGTGCTCGGGCGAGGGGAGCGAGTGTCTGCTTTCTCCAGAAACGTGTCATGGTCTGGGGTTGATGGGGCTGGACAGCTGGAGATGTCATCGGTGCTTTATTCACTCAGAGTTCACAGAGCTTCAGCACAAAGACCACATCAACAACAAGCATTAGATGCTCAAACTCCACGTCATATTGGGAGCTTCTTGTAGAACTTCTTGTCACCTTGTGCTAATTAGTCATTTATCAGATGCACTACCATTCAAAAGTATAGGGTCAGTCATTTTTTTGGAAAGAAATTAATACTTTTATTCAGCAAGGATGCATTAAATTGATCAAAAGTGACAGTAATAATGGCATTTATAATGTTACAACTGATTCCTATGTCATATAAATTCCTTAACTTTATATCCTGAAAAAAATGTATCACGGTTTCCACAAAAATATCAAGCAGCACAACTGTTTTCAACACTGGTAATAAATGTTTCTCGAGCAGCAAATCATCATATTAGGAGGATTTCTAAACGATAATGTGACACTGAGGACTAAAATAATGATGCTGAAATTTCAGCTTTGATCACAGGAATAAATGCATAGAAATTACAAAAAAATAAAACGTTATTTAAATTGTAATGACATTTTGCAATATTACTATTTTACTGTGTTTTGATCAAATAAATGCAGCCTTGAAAAGATTTTGTAAAGTCTTTTGCTTAGAGACTAAACAAAAACATTTAAAAAAATATTTCCCAAATGTCAGAATAGTAGCCTACTTTAAGACAAAGTGACTTTCATATAATGAAAAATCACATTTTAAATCACATTATTAAAAATTAAATAAATAAAAACTATGCACACACTATAAACTCAAAACCCCCCAAAACACCATTTATAGAAACTAATCTGCAAAAACAGCGCTAATATTTAAAAATATGATAACAATTTAAAATAAGAAATCAATCTATCTATCAGAAATCAATCTAACATGCTGATTCACTGCTCAAGAAACATTTTTTATTATCAATGTTGAAAACTTTTGCTGAATAATATTTTTGTGAAAACGTTCTTTTTTTTCAGATTTCTTTGATAAGCTCAAAAGAAAATAATTTACACTAAACATACTGCGACTTCAGATCAATTTAATGCATCCTTGCTGAATAAAAAAAAAATTGGATTTCCTTAAAGGGGTCATATGATGCTGCTAAAAAGAACATTATTTAAAGTAACATAAAAGTAACACCTTCTTTCTTTGCGTGCATATTTGGGCGGCGTTATGCAAAGCTTCCCACATAGTGAGGTAGATATGTGGGGGCGTGTTAGAACGAGCTGTTTTAGGTAGGTGTGGCTGACTCTGAACTTTTATAAAGAATATCTCTTTGGATTTGAGACTTTAGTCTTTGCAACTTTACAGATCTTCTTTATGCACCAAGAGCTTGTAACACTCCAAAGAGAAAGGAAAAAATGAAATTGCATCATATGACCCCTTTAAAAAACGGTAGTGTAGCCTATGCTTGTTATAAGGATAGTTCACCCAAAAATGAAAATTGTTACCTGAAAAAAATAAAGAAGCTATTGTCAACTGTTTGGTTCCCCACATTCTTCAAAATATCTTCTTTTGTGTTCAGCATAAGAAATTCGTACAGGTTGAGTAAATTATGTCAGAATTGTCATTTTTGGGTGAACTATCCCTTTAAGTCATTCTTGTACTACCTCAGTCCTTCCGGCTCAGAAAAGTGTCGATAATGAAATGTCTGTTGAGTTACTCCGTGTACACAGACACCTTCTCCGCTAAAATATGCAGCGGATGTCTTTTACATGTATTGGAGAAATACGGAAACACTTTTTCCGTAAACTTGTGCTTATACTTGTAAAGCAGAGAGTTGTCTCCGGCGTCCGAGAACATGACTCTGCCGGCCTCCCAGTCGAGCTGAACCCGAATCTTCTGAGGTTTCTTCTTGAGTGTCAGAGGAGCGCCTCTGGTGGCCGTCCGCGCGCAGTACTCTCCTCCGTACAGGCAGATGGTCCACATGCCGCGCTCGGGACTCGGCGGGAACCACTCTTTACGCTGCACGCTTTCTTTCACCACCCCCAGCGCCCACTCGCTGCAGTCGCCCACCTCCACGTCCCAGCTGTGCCGGCCGGAGCCCAAGCCCTCGGAGCCCAGGGCGCAGTCGTAGAAGCAGAAGCGCTCGGGGTTGTCCGGGACCTGCTGCTCTTCCTCCGTGTAGCGGATGGTGGTGAGGTCGTCGGACAGAGCCACGCAGACGTCTGCGGTGTTGGGGTCGAGGATCACGGGAGCTGAAGGTTTGACAGGTATTCAGAGTTTAGGCACTGGCAAGATCAGTTTTGAGGCAGTTGCAAGTGATTAAAACTGGATATTCATAAACAAAAATGTAAATGCTATTTTGTGAAATAATCAGGAGCTACACTGTAAAAAAACAAAAAAGATTATTGGAGTAGGTTTCACGTGAAAATACCATTCAGTCTTTCTACTTCAGCATATTATGTTTAATTTAATGTATCGCTTGCTATTTCTTTATAATTAATTGTGAAAAATTATTTTTACACTAAATATTTTTAGTGTATTTGCTACTTTTGAACATAAAATACAGCTGACACTGTTTTTTTATTTTATTTAATGGAAACTTTGATTTTATATATATTTTTTTTTTTTTTTTGTATTTTTAAAAAATGTATGTCATTTTATTTTATTATCAATTACAGATTTGCCCACATCAAAGAATGTTGTGATGTCTTGTAGTTCTGTAACAGAAAGATCAGTGTTTATAACATTTATTTATTTATTTTATGTGTTACTTGCCATTACTTTGTAATTAATTGTGGGGAAGTGGTGTAGAAACCAATTTTCTCTGTACTTGTTAATTTTGAACATACAATTTTACAGTCTAAACTTAATTTTTTTTAAAGGAAACTTTGAGTTAGTGTTGAGTATATATTTATTTTGATTGCATTGCATTGCATGTAATATCTAAATATTTAACCAAAGGAATATGAAGAATAGGAAGTTTCTTTCAGTCAATACTAAAATAATAGGAAGTATTCTTGATTTGCTTCTCTACCTTCAAAAATGGCATATCATCAATGTTCATGGCCTCTTCTGCTGCAGTAACATCTGAACATTAAATATTAGTTAACTGTTGAACTAATTTATTTTATTATTTTATTTAACTTTATTCCATTTCAGAATTACTCGCCACTAAAGGATGCATAAAGACTAGTCAAACCAGATACATGTCAAAAGTCTGGGTTTGTGAGACAAAGGGTACAGTGACAGTTGTAATCTATTTTTAATCATTCCTACTCCCTAATTTCTACATATTTCATTCAGAAACTAACCTTAATATATATATATATTTTCTATATAAAAAAACTGATGGCTTTCTTTGCTCTTACTGTACGTGACGGTGGTCTGCATCTTCTCCCACACTCTGAACTGGAGCGAGCCGATGTGTTTGGCCACATCAATCAAAGCTCCAGAGATTTCCACTGGATCCTGAACGGTGCAGTCCATCCTGGAACACAAACAGAAGCTTCCTCAGATGAACTTAGGTTCAGAACTTAGGTTCAGACTGCAGGCTGCTAAACTGCTAAACCAATCACTCTGCCTCGGTTTATTTAGTGTTAAATAACAGACAGACAGATCTTTTTACCGTTCTGAAGTCTTCTTGTAGTTCTGTAACAGATGGATATGCATGTTTAATCAAAGGAATATGACATTTCTTTTCATCACTACTATTAAAATAATGTAGACTTATTTTGCTACCTTCAGAAATGCCATGTCATCAGCGCTCATGGCCTCTTCTGTTGAACTAATGGCTTCTCTTAAGGTCATGATCTCATCTGTCAGTTTGTCCATCTTCTCCTTCATCTTCTGGCTCTTCTTCTCCTCTTCCTCACTCAGAGCTCTCAGCATGGAGATCTCCTCATCATGCAGGAACTGATGGAGCTTTTCAAAGTTCTCCTTTATCAGACGCACAGTGTTCTGGGCCTGTCTCTGTCCAGAGGGCGGAGAGACTCTCAGAAAATATTGCCACCTTGATGTGTTTGTGCAAAATGCTTAAAAATGTAGTTAGAGAGTAATTAAATAACTAATTACTGTAGTGCATATTCACATGAATAGTATCATGTCATGCTTACATTTTATGCATTAAATTCTCTTGAGTTCTAAAACGGTTCTGTTAAAACATGCAAAAGTCCCAAAACAGCCTGAATATCCTGTTAAAGTTGGCTTGCGTTGATCTTTTGACTCGGAGATGTTACCCTGATGTGTTCTGAAGTTTCCTGGCTGGTTTGCTTGGCTGTGTTTAACATCTCCAGTTTCTCCTGCAGGGGTCTGAGAGCTGCTCTCAACTCCCTCTGAGAACAAAGTGAGTTACTGTCAGTTCTCGCTGTTCATCTGAAACTACATCATGCAGAATAAAAACATAGTGATATAACAGAGCCAAAACTTACTGGGATTCAATCCTGCAATTTAGTGCCACTTTTTTATCTTTAGTTATAAAATAGTTATTTAGTTAATAATGGAAACGACTTGTAAAATTGCTGTGGAAAAAAAAGTATTACAATTTTGTTACTCAAAAATGATTTATTTATTTATATCACACATACAGTGGGTACGGAAAGTATTCAGACCCCCTTAAATTTTTCACTCTTTGTTATATTGCAGCCATTTGC